ATATTTAATAATTTTTTTCAGTATATAAATAATATTTTGATATAATATGCTTGTTCTTAAGATTGAGCTTAACTATTCGAACAAAAATTCATTCGAACAAAAATTCATCCAAACATATGCTTTTTCGAACACATTTTATTCGAACATATCATTTTCGAACACATAACCCCTTATCACCTGTATAAATGTATTATTCAAGATGAGGCCTTATTTCATTTGTTGAAAATGTTTAAATATACAAGTGTATAATCAAACGTACATTTACCGATCGTGTGCGTACTGCTTGCTGATACCCAACTACCCAAGCCATTGATTACAGCTGCGTCACCCAAACATAATATAAATATTACGTCAGTACTGATAATTTATTTTTAGAAATATTGAGAAAAATTGATTGAAAATGTGGCTAACTGACCAAATTTATTAAAAGGACTACTAATATAAATTGAACAATACAACAATCTAGTTCTGTTAAGTTATTTAATTAATTTTTATGCATATCACATTTTGTGGTTACATATTGTATAAATATAGATATTGTTAACATTTTGAACATTTTTTACTACAGCGAAGCTGCTAACTAAAAAGTTAAAGGGGTATTTTTGAGAGGTCCTTTGAAAAAATTGCCTCATGGGCCCTTTAGGTCCCAGGGTGACACTGCATAAATATATTATAATTTCGATGAAAATATATGTGGTTAATAAGTTTATCTACATGCTATACATATAGGTACCTATTATAGTTGAAGATTGTTCTGTTCTTATTCGGTTATATGCGGGTATAGTAGTCCGTCATAATAGACATTTGTACAGTATTGCGATTGATTGACTTTTGTATCTATTATGAAATCTGAAATGAATTTTCAGCGTTTCATCTCACGGAGAGCGACAACGCGTTTTGCGCTCGGTGCGAATCGAGATCTGAGCATCACGAACAACGCGTAAGACATGGATATGGAATACAACAACTTTTTGCACTACTCCACTCGGCTGCTGATGTCCGACGTGTTGGGCGACGTCTACGTGGAACTGTCCAAGCAGAAGTCGGCAAACAGCCGGTTCATGTTCACGCGGGCCCTGCTTCGCAAACATAAAATTCTGGTCCCGACGTTGGACGTCGACATTGAGTACGATCATCCCATCATGTCGACGAGCCTCCGACAAAATGGCAACGTGTTCTTCAAGGCCAAATTGTACGCGGCCGCCGCCGACATGTACACCAAGAGTTTGACGGGCTGCGATCCGAGCACCGAGTACTACGCGCTCGCGATGGCCAATCGGTCGGCCGCGCACTTCCACATGGGCCAGTACGAGCGGTGCCTGAATGACGCGCGTTGTGCCTTAGGGTCCAATAATTACCCCTCCAAGCTCGCGTACAAGCTGTACGAGCGGGCCGGCCACGCAGAACGCATGTTGGACCTCGTCGAACAGGCGAAGGAGAGCTACGCCATTTGCCTGACACGACTGGACGAGTCGGACTTGTCTGTGGAGAATAAACGGAAGTTCAGAACGGCGGTAGAAAAGGCTGCGACTGAGTGCGAGGAACTGCTGACTGAGCGGAAACGGACGATGAAAACACCTCCCGTCGAACACCTGGTTGGTGGAAAAAACAAAAACATTCCTGCACTATCGGCCTTTGTGGAACTGAAGATGTCTGAGAATATGGGACGTGGTGTTTATGCCACCCGCGACATTAACCCCGGTAAGTGAAATTATGAGTAGGTTAGGTCATATCATGCGAACGGAATATATAAGCGTTTTTTTTTATAGTACCTAAACGGTAAAAAAAAGTTAAGGTTGCGAAAATCTCGAAAGTACCAGACATTTTTTGTTATTTTTTGAACATCAGAATTGTTACAAATTGTTCATAAAAAGAAAAACTATAGGCTACCTATGTCCTATATAGATAATAATAATTAATAGTACTAACACATTGTTTATAAATTATTATAAAATATAAAAAAAGATTTTTTTTAACATATCATCTTAGTCTTTATTGTAATTAAAACGAATAATTCACTTATAAAAATAAGTTTATTATACGTTACAGAGTTACAGACACGACGATTT